GCCACCACCGCCTGGCAAGATGTTTTTTTTTGTGCATGAGTATTTGCTCTGCATATAGTATGTGTACCACAAGCATGCCTGGTGTCTGTGGAGGTCAGAAGCAAGCAAGGGATCCACGGGAAATGGAGTTATGGGTGGTTCGTGTGGGTGTTGGGAACTGAACTCAGGTCCTCTGCAAGAGCAACAAGCGCTCTTACGGGCTGAGCCATCTCCCCAGTCCCCTACATTCCTGAGACATGCTTGTCCATGTATAGCTCAGTTTGGCCTTGAAATTGCATCCTGCCTCTCCTCTCAAGTGCTGGGATCATAGGATAGGTGTGAATCATCCAGCCAGGATTCTCTTTTAGAAATTTGTGTTGCACTTTTCAGTCTTTACTCTGTTGTTTACGCAACCTTTGAACTCCTACGTCAGTCTCCAGAAATTACTGGCACCAACCACTGTGCTCCACTTAAAACAAAACAACAAAACAACACAGTAACCAGGAATCTGTTAGGCTTGGCCCTAATATTTAACAGCTGTGAGCACATCTCCCAGGCTCTCGGCTTCCTGCGTCGGGGCAACAGAAATGAACGTGAACGTCTTCAATTCCAGCATTTGGGAACCAGGGCAGGGGTTCGAGTCCAGCCTGGACTAAGGCGTGAGCCAAGTCTCAAAACAAACGCCTGAAGCAGGGCTCGTTTTCTCCACAACGAACGCAGGAGACCGGTTAGCGTCGGTCGGCGGGCCCCAGGCAGGAGCCCAGCTCCGCCAGCCTCGCGTTTCTCAGGGCAGAGGGGCCCCCAAAGCTGGCTACGGGAGCAGCGGCCTGGGTCAGCCGGGGACCCCGGGCGGCCGTGGGAGGGCTCCGCCCGCGCCTCACACTCACCGGTCCGCAGCCGCGCGCCGCGCGCTCCTTCCGGCGGCCGGCTCCGCACACCCCACAGAAACCGCCGTCACCGGCTCGAACGCACTTCGCAGTCCCTCTGTGGGGTCGTCTGTGCCGAACAGGAGCAAATCCCAGCCTCCCCAGCCGCGCTTCCGGGGACCCCGCGGCTTTGCCCGGGCAGCGGCCCGCGAGCACTCGCCCCAGCGACGCGCGACTTTCAGAAGTCCCGCCAAACCCTCACGGCCGGTCACGCCCGCATCCCTGCGACGTCATCACGCCGTTCTCGGACCCGCCTATAGCCGGAAGTGCTGCGAGCCTGACGGACATGCCCGGCGACTTGGAAGCCGAGTGGTTCCGTAGGTCACTTCTGCCTTCCTCTATGACTGGTCTGACCTGACTGAAGACTACAAGTCCCCAAAGGCTACGAGGTCGGCCCAGGACTACATCACCCAGCATGCACTGCTGCGGGCGCTGCTCTGTAAAATTCTTGCGCACGGGTTGTTGGCCTAAGGCGGAAAAGGTTTTTGTGGTGTACGGTTTTGTTAGGATACCAACCTTGGGCAGGTGGGGTGTTTCTGGGAATCAATGCTTTACAGGTCCCTGTGGGCGAAGAGGTGAAGAAACTGAAATAAAGGGATAAAACCTGCAAACAGAGCCAGCGAGTTGTGGGAAAAAATACTTTTAGTTGGGCAGTTGTTGGGACGGGTGAATCTAAATACATTATATACATTTATAAACCCACCCAAAATAAGATAAAATAACTCACTCTGTAGTGGGTTTGGGTGTTTATTGGAACTCCAGAAAAGAAGGCTCAGAATTGAAAAATTTGTGTGTAGTTTATCAGGAACTTTGACCTGTAACTTAGGCTTTTTGATTTTTCTTGTTATATATCTATGTGCTTTGAGCCTGGCCTCGAACTCTTTGCAGCCGAGGATGACCTCAGTCCTTCCCCCACCTTGATTTTCCGTGCTAGGATTGCAGGAGTGATCCACCACTATATTCTGGGCTAGGACTGAACCCAGGGCAGCATGCATGCTAAAAAGCACTTCAACAATTTAGCTGCATGCCCAGCTGGTAATTACTATTGAGACAGATTCTCTGTAACCCAGGCTGAATTCAACTTCCCAAAGTCTAGGGTTACAGACATAACCTACTGTGCTTGACATTTTTTTGTTGTTTTGCTTTGTTTTTAGAGACAGCGTTTATGTGTAACAACCCTGTCTGTCCTGGAACTCGATTTGTAGACCAGGCTGGCCTCGAACTCACAGAGATCCACCAGCCTCTGACTCCTGAGTACTGAGATTAAAGGCATTGATGAAGCCTGAGGGCTCTGGGCATTTCTCTGGATAAGTTTCCCACGGTGATCTTGAAATTTGAATCTTCATACCTCAGACTTCCATATAGCTGGATTTATTAGGCTTTACAGGCTTGTGCCACCAGAGCTGGCTGTGGGGTGCTTTAAAGTTGACCAACTTGCCGGGTGGTGGTGGTGCATGCCTGTAATCCCAGCACTCGGGAGGCAGAGGCAGGTGGATCTCTGTGAGTTCGAGGCCAGCCTGGTCTACAGAGCTAGTCCAGGACAGGCTCCAAAGCTACAGAGAAACCCTGTCTCGAACTCCCACCCCCCCACCCCCTCACCCCTCCCCCCAAAAAAAGTTGACCAACATTTTTATTTAATCCTTACACTATTGTTGAATCGAGACAAGGACAACAACAACAACAACAAAAACAGGGGTTTCTGTTTGTTTTTTAAAAAACATTTATTGTCTATGTGTATGTTTGAGGATGGGCCCTTACTTGTGGAGGGCAGAAGACAACTTCAAAGCTTTTTGATTCTACCATGTGTTTGGCATTGAACTCCGGTTGTTAGGCTTGATGTCAGCGACCATCACCTCCATGGAACTCTTACAATATTTCAGGTGAGAGACAGAGGTTTGAACTAAGTAACTAACAATGACAGAAGAGTTCAGGGAGCATTTGGTTGTAGAAATAACCAAACTAATTATAGATGGCAGGTGAATAATAAATTGTTCCTGGAAATTTAGAATTGGAATCTAGGCAAACCTAAGCTTAGAAACAAGAAGCAAGACACCCATGGCTGTGTAGGTGTCAAGAAAAGGTTTATTCTCAGAAAGGTAAGTAGAGATAGAAAGTGGGAGCAGAAATTAAAAAAAAAAAAGTTTTGCATTCTGATGACTTCGGCTCTTTCCAATTCTTCAGAGGCCCAGCAGCATGTATTGTTCTTGAGATCAATGAGCTATGCATCCATTCCAAAAGAGCAGAATGAATCAGCGGACTAAGTTCTATTCTTACAATGCCTAAACTAACTTTGGTAGTTTAGTTTTTGTTTTTTGTTTTCAAGACAGGTTTTCTTTGTGTAACAGCTCTGGCTGTCCTGGAAATCACTCTGTAGTCTAGGCTGGTCTTGAACTCACAGAGATCGCCTATCTTTGCCTCCTGAGTGCTGGCATTAGAGGTGTACACCACCACTGCCTGGCCTAAACTATAAACTACATAATCTCAGTGATACCTGTTTTGTTTTGATTTGAAACAGGGTGTATGTAGCCCAGGCTGGCCTCAAATTTGCTATGTAGCTGAAGATTACTTTGAACTTTGGATGCAAGTATTGAGATTACTGGGGTTCACCTCTCTGCCTGGCTTATGTGGTGCTGAGGATCAAACTCTTGGTTTCATGAAGCCAGGCAAGCACTCAACCAAGTGATCTACATTTCCAGCCCAATAATGACCTGAAATCCTGGGGAAATCAAGCTCTAATAAAACCAGAATTGAATCAGCAGAAATATAACCTTTTCACTGAAGAAAAAGTTGGCTTTTTGGTTTTGTTTTTTAAAAGCAGTCTTGGTATATAGCCTAGGAAACAATCCTGTCTGCTCAGCCTCCTGAGTGCTGGGATAAACAGGTGTGTAACATAACGCCATGCCTGCCCAGCTAATGTAGATGACTTTGAAGGTTCACTGGTCAGATTCCCACAAATTGAAACAGATACAAGTAATAACAATTTAGTATATGATAAGGCATTACACAACAATGGTGGTAAAGATCTTTTATCAAATGCACTAAAATAGCGCATAGCTAGCCATTTTTCCTGACTACTTCTCAATCCTCCACAGTAGTTGGCACAGTGGAAATTACATTTTCTCCATTGCTCTTGCTTTTAGAAAACTGCCATTCTGGCTTTTAAGCTTCTGAAAGAGGCTCAAAAACAGTATTTGTCTTGTTTTCCTTCTTTAGACAGGGTCTCACTATGTAGCCCTGGTTGGCCTAGAAATTGTTATGTAAATCAGGCTGGCCTCAAACTCAGAGATCCTCCTGCTTCTGACTCCCAAGTACTGGAATTTGTGTGTACCACCATGTCAAGCATAAACATTTTTAAAGGAAATTTTTATATTATACACTAGTTTTCTATTTTGTCATAATGGGGATAGAGGCTAGAGCCCTGTGCATGTTAGGCTTTACCACTGAGCTGTATCACTAGCCTGCAGTATTTGGTTCTCATTTTGTTTTTTAGATAGGCTCCTACTATATAGCTCAAATTGGCCTGGAACTCACTGTATAGACCAGGTTGGCCTCAAATTCACAGAGATCTACCTGACTCAGCCTCTAGAGCCAGTGGTTCTCAACATTCCCAATAATAGTTCCTCATGTTGTGGTAATCCCCAACCATAAATTATGTTGCTACTTCATAACTGTAATTTTGCTACTGTTATGAATTGTAAACATCTGATATGCAGGATGTCTGATAATTGACTCTCTGAAAGGGTCGTTCAATCCTGAAGGAATTAAGAAAATGTGGTACATATACACAATGGAGTACTACGCAGCAGAGAAAACAATGACATCATGAAATTTGCAGGCAAATAGATGGAACTAGAAAATATCATCCTGAATGAGGTAACCCAGACTCAGAAGGACAAACATGGTATGTATTCACTCATAAGTGGATACTAGATATAAAGCAAAGGACAGTCAGACTGCAACCCACAGATCTAGGGAGGCTACCTAACAGGGAGGACCCTAGGATGACTGTGACTTATAATAAAGTTTTGGTTTGCCCAATCACTGGGCATGCTTTAGTGAAAAATTTCACTATTAGGATAAGAATGTGTACCATATCAAGTTGATGAAAGGATATGCTGGCTGTACTCTTAGGAGGGAAGGCTAAAAGCTTTTGAGATTATAGATTAGCCTATAGAAAAATGTCTGCCATAAATCAAACATTGGAGATGAATAGGAATCTCACTTGTACAATCTAAGTAAAACATAGCTCTCTGAACAGATGAAGATAGATTTCTTTCTGTATCCCAGAATCTAATCAATATTTATATGTATAATTCAACTATTATTTGGCTTAAAAGGGCTTATTGGGAAATGTTATCATTTTTACTATTTTCTTGCTTTTTTTTTTTTTTTCTCGAGACAGGGTTTCTCTGTGTAGCTTTGTGCCTTTCCTGGAACTCACTATTGAGACCAGGCTGGCCTCAAACTCACAGAGATCCACCTGCCTCTGCTTCCCAAGTGCTGGGATTAAAGGCATGAGCCACCACCGTCCGGCCATTTTTACTATTTTCTACAGAGAAAATACTTTCCAGTTTCAAATAAGACTTTCAAAAGGAGGAAATTCTGACAGGTAATATAATATGGATGAACCAGAGGGCACTACGTCAAGTGAAATAAGCTAGTCATACAAGATAAGCACACAGGATCCCACTTACATGAGATCCCTAGACTCATCCATAGAGAGAAACATGGTAGATGCCAGAGGCTGAGGAGGGAGGCAGTGTTTAATGGGAACAGAGTTTCAGTCTGGAAAGATGGGAAAAGTTCGGGAGATGGGTGCTGGCTGCAAAGTATTGGGAACTGTTTAGTGCTGCTGAGCTATGCACTCAAAGGTAAATTTTATATC